CCAAAAATTGCTCCAAATTGGAAGACCTCGATGCCATCACTGTATATGCCTAACTGTATACAGTTGAATACCGCCACAATGAACTGCTTTCTAGAGGAAATTTCTGCTGCAAAGAAAAAATCTTGGTTCCCCGTCAGCGGTTCATTGCAGTCGATGCATAAATATTCTCGCCACAACAAACATGTTTTCTTATGCCATTTCGCTTCACTGAAGTTTGACAATGCAATTCCAGGCTTAGATACTTAATGCCATGCAGTAAACACAATCCTTATCATTTTGATGCATTTTCAGAACATAAAAATATGTCTACAAAGTCTGAAATGCGCGGTGGCTTCACCACAAGCTTCAGCTGCTAACTGAGCATTGGGGGCTGCCATTGCATGATAGCAATGGCAATGAGACTGCCTGGCGTTTGCCACTGGCTTGCTTTTGCGCCTTATGTAATCCCATGCTGAATTTCTACACACTGCTGCTGGGTGCAATTGCGGAACAGTGCCAATGCTTTTGGTTTTTTTTTGCCCTGGCTCTGGTCGGAGTGTCTGTATGTTTGCGCTATCAACAAAATCAGCTACCTTCGACTAGTGGATAATAAGAGTAGCGTAAAATAAGCACAAGTCACCGCTCCGTGACATTTTACCGAAGGCGGACAGCTGCTGCTGTTAGTGTATTAGTGCAACTGCTAGGTTCCTTCACAAAAGCTGTTGTGGCCGTTGTTTCAGTGTGCTTTTAAACATGGTGTCGCTTTGCATAACTGAGAATCACGTCATGACATTGCTTGGAAAAAAGAAAAAAGCAGCTTACTCTTAATGATTTTTGGAAATGAAAGCTTTTTTTTTGCTAGGTAAGGGCAGCTATATCTTTTCCGATTTCACCACAGTGAAATTATTGCTTCACTGAATTTTTCTCTGCACACCATCAGTTTTGTTGTAGCGGGGTTTAACTGTATTTATGTGTGTATCCGGAACATAATACAACTACACGAATGGTAAAGTATGCGTTTATTGCGGAAACCACACGAGCATGGCCAAGGCATGGTTTTTGAGGGATGCTCCATTCTCTGCTACTAGTTCATGACTGACTGTTTAGGTTGATGACAGGGGTGGAATCTTAATCTGACCACAGAAAAAACATCGATAAAGCAGAGGAGGGACTAGTGTCATCTCTATAGAATATTTAGGGCAAAAGTATTACACCTGTCACACGGTACATTTACTGTCGTTGACAAACAAGTTTGTAATGTCTGCTGTAACAAGGGGAAGGAAATGCCATTCAATGAAAATGACATTTACTGTAGAATAAGTTCAGAAAACACATTCACATTTAAATTCGGACTGAATGTGTAGCCTCATCACCAGGGCTAGTGTGGCCCTATAAATAGTGTGGCCCTGTAAACTTAACCATGAATCAACATCACATGCTATAGGTTTGATGACCTATAGCATGTGCTAAAGCCAAAGAAAGCTACTCCCACCTACAGTGGCTGAATGCTGGCCATGTTTTATTTGTGCAGTGTTATCATTGCTGCCAGTATCGCTGGTTTTGGTCATCCGATTGTTCATGTTGTGGTGATCAAGTTGGTGACTACAGGAATTAGCTGCCACGGTATCATTTCTACAGCCGGTTTGTAAGTCGTGCTTCCACGCTTCAATGAACTGTACTAAAGTACGGCACCTGATCATAGAGTCGACCAAACTGGTTTTCGATTGGCTCAGGTTTAAATTCGATTGTCATGCAGGTGTAGCAAGTTGTGTAAAATATTATAATAATATAGGAGCACGTTTTTAGTGACAAAAAGTGACTTTTTGTCATACAGCGAAAAAAAAGTTACTGTGTTTAAGGAGTAATAATTGACATGCAATGCTTTGACAAACATGGGGTTCCCAGAGGACCAGTTTTGAAGGCACCTTCCCGCTTTGCGGTATTTTGCCTGACTAGCGGCAGAACCATTGATGAGCAGCAGTGCTTTCCGCACTGTAATTAGAGATCACAGTACACTTGGCACCATGCCAGATATTCTGCTCTTGAACAGGGATGCTTTATGCCTGCAATGCAAGGGATTGGGTGTATTTCCCTGAAAGAGATGATTTGAGAAAAGTGGCATGCATTTTTATAATACTCATGTTTCATGTTTTGATAACCTCATTTACTAATGTGATGCTTCTGACTTCAAATTCCTGCTGGACAGTATTGTATTGTATATTTTTTAAATAAAAATTTTCATACTTGACCTAAAAAACGTTTTTATGCATAGTTTGGAGGCCTTTATTTCACAAAGCACCTGTGGCAGAGCAGTGAAAATTCCATATAGCTTTATAAAACTGCCGAAGCTTATATTAGTAGCACTTTTTTATAAAAAGATATAATTGCGTGAACTTTAAAGAAAGAGCATACAAGAGAAACTTCTGACGACAATCTAAAAAAAAAAAAACCATTTTTGATATTTTTTATATTTCCCCCTGTTGACCTACTGCACATCAACTTTCACTATCAATAAAAACATGTTGAATTTTATGGTTTCGCTTCCAGTTACAGCCCGTCAAAAAATGCCCTTGCGCAAGGATAGGCGACGGTAGATTGGACTTCCTGCCTGCTAGGTATGCAATGCAGGCATAGTAAGGCTGATGATGATGACAACAGAGCTTGATGCCACAGTGCCTCAATGAACCCCACACGTACAACACCAACTTCTAATCATTCGCTACTGTGTTTATCACTGCTAATTTGTAGTGGCAAGACGTAATTACTCGATACAATATCATGCCAAATTGAAAAGCCCTAGGTGATGACAAATTTCATACTATCTTCAGACCCAGAAATGGGGCTCAGTTTTGTGCAAAGGCCTGATTTGACAGGCTTTCCTCACACCGGAGCATAGACTGTGCGCGCTTGTTTGCTTGGTAATCCCGCACTCATGGCCGCTCCCGTGACCAAATCATTTCAAAATAGGCATCCTCAGTGCAGTCGTCCGCTATTTCAGTGCTCCTTGCCTTTTAAGAAACTGCAGTACAGGCCTGCATTCCATACTTAGCGGGCAAGAAGTTCGATCTACGTTGTCTATCCTTGGGCAAGGGCATTTTAGGGGCGAAGCTCCTTAGGTGCCACCCGTCTGTCCCGTTATCGTTTGTAACCACTGGTGGCACATACCCATTTGTAACCATTGGAGGGGGGTGTGCCACCATTCCAAGAACTAAACGAAAGGTTTCGCTGTGATGAGCCGCCTCTCATTTAGTTCTTGGAATGTGTAAGCTTCTTAAGCCGAGGGTTGTGCGTCCTCAATGTATGTAGTAAGTAGCTACCTCTCACTTAGTTCTTGCAATGCCCGCTAGATGGCGCTACTTGTGTATAATCAATATATGATTGAAATATTTGAGATGCTGGTACTTGAAGCGTTCACTAGATTGGCAGATGTACAGACACACAGACTGAGAGATGCACGGACGAAGAGACACACCCACGGTTGGACGGACGGATACACGAACGAACGTACGGGCGCTTTGCCCCACTTACCATCATTCAGTCCGTGAATATGTTGTAATTTCTTGACGACCGTAACTGCAAGTGAAACCATATAATCGAACATGTTTTTATTTATTGTGAAAGCTGATGTGTAGTAGATTAAGTGGGGAAAGTATAAAAAATATCAAAAATGTTTTTTTTAATTGTCACCAGTAGTTTTTCTTGCATGCTCTTTTTATAAAGTTCTCACTAAAGCTTTTTATTGAGAAGTGCTAATAATATAAGCTTCGGCAGTTTTATAAATCAGCATGTTGAAAAACCTATGTGAAATTTTCACCGCTCTGCCATAGGTGCTTTGTGAAATAAAGGCCTGTAAATTAGGCAGAAAAATGTTTTTTAGGTCAAGTTTGAAAATTTTTATTAAAAAATTCACACTATGCAGACATTCTAATTATAATTGAGCGTAAGTGCCAGTACGCCTATATGCAGCGAAACAACTTTGAGGCATGTAGCTTTAATATGTTCTGTGTAATTCATCGCCAAAGTCGAAAAAAGCAGCAGAGCAGGTAAGCGGGACACTCCACCTCTCCATCATTATTGATTTACTGGGCCTCGAAATAATTTTTACAACAAAACCAGTTGCAGATCTCTTCTTTCCACTGATATAAAATTTTGAAAGAAATTTAAGATGTCAGCCAGCCGTGCTTTGTTCGATCTTACGTGAAATCACCAGGTAGTTCTTGTTGCACTTAGGTTACCGCAACATAAGTTTGTCTGTAGTTTATTGAAAATTCATAATGTGCAAGCCACATTCTCTGTGTCTATCATAATTGCCACTCACAAGATTGCAGCCCAATGCAAACAGATATTGCATCACTGAGTGGCATTTTCTTTTACTCAGGTTTAATTGGATACATTATTTCCGGAGTGGCCCAGATGGTAACGCCTTGCTTTCACGAATTGGATTCATTGCTATTCACATGTACCTTTGCCTGTTTCTGTTTGTATTTTGAATGAGAAAAAAAATGCTCAACTGAAAGAAGGAGGTTAATGAGGGTAGTAGGAAAGGGATTACAATTGTCGCATCATCGTGGGTCTCATTTTCTTTGAACCTTGGTAATAGGCAAACCAGTGTTAAGAATATCATAGTCAAAATCAAGAAGAGATGCACATAGGCCGGGCATGCAGTGCGTAGGCAAGATAACCACTGGTCATTAAGGGTAACTGACTAGATTCCCAGTGAAGGCAAGTGGGTAAAGGGGAGAAAGAAAGTTAGCTGGGCAGATGAGATTAGGAAGTTTGCGGGTATAGAGTGGCAGCAGCAAGCACAGGACCTGATTGATTGGCAGCACATGGGAGAGACCTTTGTCCTGCATTGGGTGTTGTCAGGCTAATGATGATGATCAGTATGAATGGGCTCACATTGTGGGCTTTCATGATGGTGTAAACATGATCAATAATCCTTGTGAGTGGATGGCAAATGTCTCATTGTTTTACTTTGGTTTATTCATGCGGCAAGCTTTTCTGTCTTGATCTTCTCCTAGGGCCTGCATTCCAGATGGCCTGCTGAAAAAGTTTCCCAGTAACAACCTACAGCTGATGGTGCAGTCTGGGGCAAAGGGAGGAATGGTAGGGTGCACACTCTCTTCACATTGAGCATCGTTCAAAAGCATCGCTTAGAGCTACACACAATATTAAGGTGTTCTCAACATTTTCAATGTTGAGTTTTTCAGCAAAAAAAAAAACCTTGGTCAAATGGCCATTGCGATATCTGAATGTGGAAAATTTTGTAACCAGAAAAATAATATAAAAAATGCAGGAATAATATTATGGTATCAGTATCGCCGAGAACTGCATAATGTTCAGTATTAGATAATTATAGATGATGCTTTACAAAAAACCGACAGACAACCAACATACCTAGATTACACTAGTCACCACCCGTTACACTTCAAACGAGGGATTTTGTCAGACAAACGAGGTGGATAACAAGGATCTGCAGTGATGACGAGTACGTCCACCACTTAACCTATAGAAAAAATTAGTTGAAAGATATTGACCAGAAGACGCCCAAACAAGGTCTTCAACGAAGCATATAAACAACATAGAAAAACAACACTAGCTATAAAACACTTCTTAGCACAACCCAACCTGCCGGCAGCTTTCATGACCAAATACTCAAATGCATTTGCTAACATAAATAATATCCTTTGTATGTATTGTCCAATACAATTGATCTTCGATATTCGCAATGTTCATAGACTGTCGTGCCATGTAGCGGAATTCAGGAGCGTCCTCTCGAAGAGGACCAGTCGGCAGATGCTCCCTTGTTCGGCTGTGCTAGTGTTAATAGGAGGGGTTGGTCAACGCGTAAGCAACAAATGAACACAAATCATTTTGTATGTTTCATGCATCGGTGAATATACAAAATCGTCCGTGATGCAATAAATCTGATTTGTTCTTGAAATTTTTGTAGAAATGCGTGGCAACTCGCGCGTTCGTTTATAGCCTGCATAGTACACATATCAGCTTCGCAAGATTTTGTGCAACCACATTTCATAGCTAAATGTAATCGTCTGATTGTTGCAGTTGAAACTAACCTTGCTTTATGTGCGCACAGCATTATTTGGCACTTTCATAGCGGATTAGTCCTATAACATTCACTGTGCGCATAAAGCAACGCAGGCTTGCGACTTGCTCTTCCAACGCTGGGCCACTTGATTTTTACGTTCGCTGCAAGAGATTTGCTTCTTGCGAGATGACTGAGTGAAATAACTTTAATAGGTCCACAATGGACGAGAGTTCATTCAGCGTCACTTGGCTAGGCCAGAGCAAATTGCCCAAATAATTGTGGTGAGTACCGTATTTACTCGCATAATCCTCACACTTTTTTTGCCGGAAAACCGGTGAGAAGTTAAGGGGTGCGAGAATTACGCGGGGAAAACTTTCTACGAAAGCGTACAGAGCGAAAGAGAAAACGAAGTGGCCGCAAATCAGGATTCTCACACCAGCAACTAACAGCAAGCTTTAAGAAGTACTATTTAAAACTTACCTCAACAATAAACGCAGTGGTTCAACACAAGACAAGATTTAACTGAGACACAAAAAGTGGAAGCAAATAGTCGAGAATTAGAATGCCATACACAAAGCTTGCGGACGTTGCGGGCGTAGTGGTAGCGTTCGTCGCTCAACAGGAGCCCTCAAAACGGAAGCGTGGGACGTCAGTATTGGGCTGATGGCTATTTAACAGAATTGTCCGCTATTTCCTTTTTAAGAAATAAAGTTTATCATCAATCCCAGTTTTAGGCATACGGCAGGCCCAACGCGTCTTGGTGGCTTTCAGCAGCCATCACCAGTAGCGAACACAAAACTCGTAGACTCCGAAGGGCCTACCGGCGGCTTTGTTGCCGTTCCTTAGTGCATTATCTTTCACTTGCAACTTGAAAGCAGCTGTACAGCTTCAGTATCGCCTCATAATTTGACAAGGTTACCGACGCAACATACAAAACACGCCACAACGCACACTGGCCACTTCGGCTTGGCTTGAGTTGAATTAAATCTGTGCAATAGTACGCTTGATGCTTAAGAGATGGCGCCAGGTGACGTGTGCTATCATCATCAGTGGCTGGAAAGAGCAGACGACATTATTGCAGCAGTTTTCGGGGGTGCGATAATTACTCGAGGAAAAAAAGAAATCGTATTTTTGTTGGGCAATGTGGGAGGTGCGAGAATTGTGCGAGTGCAAGGATTACGCGAGTAAATACGGTAATACCATGTTGGTGTTGTGCGTGGTGAGTGACACGTTGTTGGTGTTGTCGAAGTCGTTTAGTGTAGAGAATTCCTCAGATTACTTTCAGCAGTGGTGTTCAAAGAAACTGTCTTGACGCCGAAGATTTTTCGCTGGACGTAGAAAGCACCGAGAAGGACAGTGACAATGGACGATCAGCTTCTAACTCACGAGCAGCGAGTTGCACTTCTTGTCCCCTCGTGCGTTTATATTTTTCATGCTCCTAAGTCACTTTAATTGTATTTATTGTATAATATGCTTCAGCGAGCTCAAAAAAGAAGTGTTTTTCTGCATTGCATGTAGCCCAATCACAGTGGATATTACGGAGCGCCACATGCCGCCAACACGCTCGAGCTTGACCAGCAAAGTGAAATGGTTATACCGTATTTACTTGCATAATCCTCGCACTTTTTTTGGCGGACAACTGATGCAAAGTTGGGGGGTGCGAGAGTTACACGGGGAAAACTTTCCATGAAAACGTACAGAGCAAAAAAGAAGACGAAGTGGCCACAAATCGTGATTCTCACACCAGCAACTAACGGCAAGCTTTGAGAAGTATTAGTTAAAACTTACCTCAACAATAAAAGCACAGGTTTAACACAAGGCAGGATTTATTTGAGACACAAAAAGTGCAAGCAAATAGTGGGGAATTAGAATACTATACGCAAAGCTTGTGGGCGTTGCGGGCGTGACAGTAGCGTTCGTTGCTTAACAGGAGCCCTCAAAAGGTTAGCGTAGGTCTTCAGTATTAGGTTGATAACTATTCAGCAGAATTGTCCGCAGTTTCCTTCTGAATAAATAATGTTTACCATCAATCCCAGTTTTAGGCACAAGGCAGGCCCAACACGTCTTGGTGTCTTTCAGCTGTCGTCACCAGTAGCGAACAAAAAACTCGTATGCTCTAAAAGGCCTACCGACGGCCCTGTTGTCATTGTTTAGGTTATGATCTATCACTTTGAACTTGAAAGCAGCCGTGTAACTTAAGTATCGCCCCGTAACGTGACAAGATTACCGACACAACATACAAAACACGCCGCAATGCACACTTGCCACTTTGGCCTGGTTTGGATTCGATTGAATCTCCACGCAATAATAGTAAACTTGATGCTTAAGAGATGGTGCCAGATGGCACACGCTATCATCATCAGTGGCTGGAACGAGCAGACGACACTATTGCGGCAGTTTTCAAGGGTGTGATGATTACTCGAGGAAAAAAGAAATCGTATTTTTGTTGGGCGATGTGGGGGGGTGCGAGAATTATGCGACTGTGAGGATTACGCGAGTAAATACGGTAGCAATGAAATGGGCAGTTACAACTGCAGTCCACGCTGCTAACTCCTTCTTAGCTTCAGTGGTATCGTCCGAAAGGCGTTGTTGTGCGACAAATTTTCACAAATTCGAGCTGCGAAAAGTGCACGCGTGTGTTCGTTTCAATATCTTTGTTGCAATTCCGCTGATGGAACCTGCAACATCCGAGTGCAGTGAATTGGGCATTGTTAGAATCTGGTCATGGCTGTGACACAAGTGCTACTTAATGGGAAGTTAAATGCTTGCGTTACGTTGAAGAAGCAACTCCTTGCTGTTTACAGCGCAAGCTAATGACGACGGCGTAATATGTTTGCAAACCATCGCTATGTTAAACATTCGCTTCAGTGCAGCCGCGACGGCGCACTACTCGCTAGTGGCCCACTACCGCAGCAAAGTTGTCGGGCAGGCTCGGCGCAAATTATTTCGGAGGGCTGGTCAGTTTATACATGAATTCTAGTTTGCGCAGTTTTCTGTAGCACGCGCAGGATTATGCAAGGTGTCAATGATGCACGGTTACTCAGCTGACACCACTACCCTTCGCACTGCGGCAAGAAATGAGGTAGCGAACATTTAGCAGCTCCTATCGTTTGGTAAAGTACTTTGGTCCGATATACATTCATTCGACGACGAAGAGTTCATCCGGTGTTAGCAGCGAGGCGTACGTTTGCGCGTCCTATATTTTACGATGCAAGTTTACATGGTCAGGAGTGAAACAGCTGCGCCAATTGAGTGGATTCGATGCAATTTCCGATTGTTGCGCCGAACTGCGCCAAAAGCGTGAAATTTGCTGAAATTGTGCCACAGTGTGCCAATATTTTCAGCCAGTCTCAAATTTTTCTCAGGTGCTCTATTTTCAGCAAGAACTGCAGGCCATATCAGCCACATGCAGTTTGCGCCATACGTCAAAGCGCGCAGACCCCAACTAAAGTGCCTAGAAGGCACCTAAAATATGGTCAGATAAGGTAAGAACACTGCGCGCCCATCGGTTTGTTGACTGCAGCGGATACCTATTGGCAGGATGATGGAACTTCAAGACCAAAATGCATTGCTCTAGCCATCAACGCTTGACGGAAAATGTAAATATCCTAGCCTGAAAATGCGTTCATGGCTTGTTAGGACCTAAAACTGGAAGCATATGCGACGTATCTCTCAGGTGAACAAGCTCAATGTTTGTGGTCTCTGGCAACGTCGGTGTTGCCAGAGACCACGTCGATTGCCTTAGCCGTGGCACATAAAGCTTTTCTTTTTCTTTTTTTTTTAAAGTTGCGTTGTCTCGGTAATGTTCCTGGCAATAAATATGCGGTACCGTCGCCGGGCCAACGGGGGTGCGTGTTACATTACCTGGTCAAACACGCTTTGCAAAGGAGCCGAAGCGGCACCTAACCCCCCAGTGAAAGAAGAAAAAAAAAGTGTGAAGTGGAGAGGAGGTGTAGTGGTTTAAAAATTTCTTCGCTTTGGTTCTAACCTTACATAGAATGCTGATTAAGCCACCTTTGCTGCAGTACACTGGTGCCCAGCGGATAGCGTATTGATATGTGGAATGGGGTTCAAGGCAATTCACGGTACGCTGCACATTTTTCTAGGTTACTCAAGCGTTTGTTTGCCGCATAATTTAGAGTACCAGCATAACTGACGTTTATATGGAACAGTATATGACGTATCTGCTTTCCTAAAAAAAAAAAAAATTAATTGCGCCAGGTTTTTTTTTTTGCCACCTCTTACTCCTCGGTTTTATGAATCTCTCAAATTTCAAGGTAGCGAGCTTGGCAGATTCACATTTAAATTCGTGGAGTCTGTCAAATGATTTGGCACGCACAGCAAATGCTAATGATCAGACCTCATCACTGTTCGCTCAGTGGGGTGATTCAGAATGCTGCTTTCATTGAAATAGCGGTGCTCATGTTCACACTGCACAATTTATGTAATTTTAAATGGTTTATATATATATATTTTTTTCAAAATTTAAACCTTCCTATTTATACTATTTCAATTTTGGTATTTTATGATTAAAAAAATGTATGACTTTTTCTCCGTAACTTGCTCCAAATTTAGATTTTATTGTTCTAACTGTAATATTTTGTTGCTCCGTTGCTCGAAATTGTATTTCGGCTGTTGCACCCCTGCCGGTTGATCATCGCAGCGATCCTGGATTGCACGGCGTGCCACATAAAGCCCGTGGGCACTGCAAATATTGAACTCAAAGGGGATTTCAAAATAGTGCGATATACCGATAATTTGAAAGACAAAATATGCATTTTAAAAAAACATTCTCGGCCTTGGAAATAATTACAAGCAATAAGTCCGTAAACTTGTCTTGCTTCTTGCGCCCCGCAAATTCTAGTCAACCTCCGTATCATTGAAGCTTTTTTAAATAAGCAAATTTAGCTCCTCCGGCCTCAACAGCGTCCATTGATGCAGAACGCCCATGCAAGCCGATACAAGCAATGCGGACATGGCAAAGAAATTACCGAAAGCAGTGGCGCAACATTTTAATGCAGCAGGACACAACTTGGATGATCACGAACTCTACATACTTCAGTCAAACTTTCAGTCTGCAAGAGACATAAAATATGCAGAGTCTTGCCTTATTCACAAGTTCAATACACTCCAGCCAGTAGGTATAATCGTTTCTAAAGGGGCTATTCGATATGGTACATACACAAAGAAAACCACCGTGTGAGTCGAGCCCTCAATCTAGAAATTTCGAACTTATCATTGTTAACTACTGACAACCTCTTCGACAACTGGGACTCAACAGCTCATGTGCATCCTTACCTCCTGACCGCTTCCTTTTTTTTTTCTTTTATTCACGGAATACATGTTCCTTTTTCCTTCATACAATTCATCCCAGCACCCCCTTCTTCCCCCGCTCTTTCACACCCTCATATCCAATGATGCCCCTCGCCCTCCTTTGTTAGGAAGGAGGAGAGGGCATGAAAGGTAGACACACTAGCAGTAAAAAAATCAGTTCTATTCTAGCCTTGAAGAAGACAAGTCCGCTTGTTGAAATGTCAGCTCCATACAACCCCGGTTTACAGATTTGCCATCATAATGATCAGTAGTATGTCAAAGTGTGGGATTACTGGAAACATAGGTTTGCGCACATCGCAATATGGACACATAAAACATCTCTAATTCTTCTCTTGCACTTACAGGTTGTGTTGGGACACGCACGCGGCATCTTCTCTGCATGTGGCTGTCTTGAGCAGAGTAAACTCCGTAATTAATAAGAACGAGAATACCTCGTGAAAATCGATGATAAACAGGCTAAGAGCAGCACAAATCAATATGAAAGCCAACTTCCACTGCTTCTGCAACAAGTGCTGATGAAGATAAATAATCAAGTTTTGCATGCCTCTGTTGTGTTAATGCAGTGAATCTGAAACCACAAAAGGGCATTGCTCATTGGCTTTACCGTAAATTGTACGATGTGCTGATGCTAGAGATGAGTTCTGTTTATCTCCTCAAGAATGTATAGCAATAATTTTTTACTCTTTTTGTAAGCCCTAGTAAGTGGCAGCGATCCCCAGTTGACATGTATCATCATTACGGTGCAAAATTAAAAAGGTAAAAATCGTATCTGTATGGCAAACACACTGTGGGACAGAAAACCACTGTCATACTTGTAGTATGGCCAAAACACGCTGATATGGTTAATAGAGTCGAACCTCTTTATAAGAGACACTGATATAAAAGACAAGTGGGTATAAGAAAAACCAGTGTGCCTACAGTAAATTACGGGTTGATAAGAAAATTCCTACGAGATACCTTGCTTATAAGAGACATCTCACATAAGAAACGAGAATTGCTGGCCAGAGCATGCCTCTTATAATGGGGTTTTACTGTAATGCATTGTCATATTATTGTAGTTATGAATAATGAGTTTACAAAGCAGGATCGCAAGCCCTTTCTTTGGGAAACTCGTGCTCTGCTATAGAAAGTAACACTCAAAGTGTAACAGTAGTGATTAGCCAATTTATCAGTCAATGAAATGTGGCCTCTGGACGTAACATGTTGTTTATTTGGAATGTAGCATTCACGGTACATTGCAGCGTGTAATATTATTTTTCGCATGTATTCCTGAATAATTCAAGAATTTGCATCACGCACACGCTTCAATTTACGTTATGGTGGAATCTTTATGGCTAAAGCCATAAAGATTCCACCATAACGTAAATTCCCCCTCCCCCTTCGTTGAGTAGATCTCCCGGATTGCGTTTCTCCAAACTTGGCAGCTATGCTTACTCACAACATAATAATAATAATAATAATAATAATAATAATAATAATAATAATAATGTAATGATGATGATGATGTATGGGCTGCGGTCTTTGAGAAAGCCTGCAGCCGCCCAACAGTCGCAATAATGAGCACTTAGAGCAATGGCCAGGATACACACATAAATTTGCCCATAGCATGACGGCAGCAACCAGACTTTTATGCTGACTGGAACGGGCAATATACTCTGCTAGCAATAGCGAAGGAAGCAGAAAGACTTTGCACTCTTGCCTGTCTTTTACTGCTTTGTGCTTGTGCAGTACGCTACCCGTTCAATGATATGATCTAGCTAGCCAGTAAAAAGGTCATATGAAAGTCTTTATGCTGACCTTATGGTTTTCCTCAACCAATGAAATGGCACGGAACTGAGTGAGAACATCTCGTTACAGGTGAACTGCATGCAGATCTCGTGCTTGCTGGGCCAGATTGAACTGGAGGGGCGCCGGGTGCCACTCATGCTCAGTGGACGCACGTTGCCATCTTTTCTACACTACGACACATCACCACGCGCAGGCGGCTTTGTGGACGGCCGTTTTCTGACGGGAATCCAGCCGCAGGAATATTTCTTTCACTGCATGGCTGGACGTGAGGTGAGCCCACCTGCTGTTTTTGTCAGGCATGTCAGGCAGCTGTGTTGTTTTGATGCACGCTTGCGTGATACGTACTGGCTGCATGAATCGCATGCCTAGAGGGTGTTATTGAGATGACTGCCTTGAATCTACAGAAAAAGTCGCAATCACACATGAAGCATGTATAGCAGTTTACTTTCGTATCACTGTATTAGAAGTCTCCTTGGAACACGGTTTATGGGTCATATTGCATAGATGAATGTAAAGGCTTCACTAATGTGAAGTGCTTGGCAGTGCAAGATTTTTTTTAAATGTTTCCAATGGAGAAGCAGTCATGCTGAATGACCCAAGGCCTATATGTGCATTTTGCCTATTGTGCATTTTTGATATGACTCCTTTTGGCAAACTCTGCATGCAAATCTTATTTCTTTCAACACTGATATGCCTCCCTTTAACAATTCAATAAAGTTTAAGTTTATTATCTGTAATTTAATAATTCCTTGTTGCTCTCACATAATAAATCATTACATGACATTATTTTGTTGCCATTGCAAGGTTATCCTGTGCTTGTAAAAGTTGGCCTTATAATGTTGCTAAATAATGAAAGCGTCCTCAAAAATTTTCCCTCAATCATTCATAGTCATTCAGGCAGACTTGACGCCTGCAGTTAGTGAGGGTTTATTGGTCTGCTCATTAAAGTCTCATGTGCCAAGTTACGCCACCTGGCAGAAAGAAGGAGTGTTTTACACTTGCTGTCACGGCTGTGAGCGATGCACGCGAAGGAATACCCAATATAAGGATAAGGGGATGACCGCCACTGTAGCTCAGCTGTTAAGTGCATTGGGTGCACAATCAAGAAGCCAGGTTCAGTCTCTGCCGGCAGCAAGTTGTCTTTTTGTCTGCTTTACTTTTTTTGCATCTTTATCATAATTACTGCAATACTCTTAAAACAGTACAATTAACGACCTTATACCTTTCTTGGCTTTGTTATCTGCTGGTTTCAATTAAAGTTGTCCCCCGATATGCTCGTGCTTAGAACTAACGGCATTCCATTCGGCCTCTCATAATTTTGTAAAATCCAGGTGTTTATTCAAGTGCAGGCACTTTTTTACCATCAGGTTCTTGCATTCAATAGAAAAGTGTGTGACAGAAAATGACACGGCCTCGATATACAGCGCCATGGTTATCTTCTGTGTGGGGTTGTGCCCACACAGTATGTCAAGTTCTAAAAAGTCGTCTTTGGATTGAGAAGCTGTTTCTTTTTGCAAGGCTGTAGAGCGGTGGTTCTCGGCCATCAATGTGTCGGGAACCCTTGTGGACCAGTCAAAGTGATGGTGGACCCCTGAGGGCATCTGTGGTCGACAGCCTATTTGAATATTGAAGGCACTGCTTGAGAGCTTTGCATGGCGCCCCAACTCTAAAAAAAAGACCCATGACAATTTGTTATTATTCATTTGCTATATCATTAACATCTATCACTTGCAAATTATTTGAACATATTTTGTCCTGAGATAATGAAATACATGACTGAAAATAATATTTTATTTTCCAGCCAACATGGTCTTCAACGGGAACGCTCTTGCGAGACACAGCTTTTCGAACTAACTACCGAAATTCATACCAATTTGCATGAACTTATACAAACTGATGCAGTCTTCATTGACTTTGAAAAAGCCTTTGACAGGGTAGGTCACATGCGTTTGATACGTAAAATGAAGACTTGTCAAATAGATACACAGGTAATCGATTGGGTTCAAGAGTACTATTTGCGTGGTAGGCGTCAAGCGGTCTTGATTGAGAATGTTATTTCCGACCTCAGACCTGTCGTGTCCGCTGTACCTCAGGGTTCAGTTTTGGTACCAACCTTGTTCTTAATTTTCAATAACGATATTCACGTGGGTGTAAACTCAAGAATTCGTCTATTCGCTGACCATTGCGGTATTTATTCTGTTGGTTCTGGCCGAAACGATTGTGAAGAACTAAATGATGACTTGCGGAAATTGGGTGAGTGGTGTGAGGACTGGCTGATGAGTAATAACATTAAAAAAACAAGACTTATGTGGTTTACTACTGGCAATCAACTAGTATTGCATGCCTACATAATAAATAATGAGACCATCGATGCAGTTTAGTCATTTAAATACTTCGGTGTTTATTTAACTTCGAATTTGACCTGGAACACACATATTGACTGAGTATTGCGTAAATCAATCCGAACTCTTGGTTCCCTTCGACACACACTTCGCCAAGCTAATAAGGACACTAAACTTCTTGCCTACAACTCATTAGTCCGATCTCAACTTGAGTACTGTTCAATTATTTGGAGCCCTTACCAATCATACCTGATTAAGAGGCTAGAATCATTACAAAACAAAGCTGCCAGGTTTATCACCTCCGATTATTCTCCCTATTCAAGTGCATCTAAAATAAAACAGAGCCTTGCAACACTACAATGCAGATGAAAGGTGCCTCGTTTAATTTTCTTCCATAAGTTATATCACAACGCTTCACCTTTTGCTACCTCATTGATAACAATGCCAAATGCAAACTTTTTATGCTTGGATCATTCCTTTAAAGTTTGTCAACCATTCCACCGTACTGACCTACTTCGTTTTTCCTATTTTCATTTGGCTTATTTTCATTTGGCTATCCAGGAGTGGAAATAATTGCCGAAATCTCTTGTTGAAGAAATAAAAACTGACAAATATTCAGAAATGCTTGAACAGTTCTTATTGCCACACAATATTCATTGAGAAGATCAACCACACTCTTACAAATTTTGAGACATTTTAACTTCGTCAAAGGGTATTCCAGTCCATAACAGAAATCATGTAACGTAATAGTACATATATGTCCGAATCACTGTATTGCTTTTTTGTAAATACTTCTACTTTCTGCCTGCCTTGTCCACATTTGTATGTAAATTGTGTATGATCTTTGTTTCGCAAGTGCTCTTTGTAAACATTTTTTTTCCTTTATTGATTTTTCCGTATTTATGGATAAATTGTATGAATGTTGTTTAGCAGTTGATTTTTCTTTCGTGAGTATTTTTTGTTCTCTGGCATAATTTTGACGAACAGCACATGCATGTCTATATGTAGTAATGATTGAACACCGCTATTTTTCTTGTTTTTAGGTTAAATGTTTGTAAACACCTATCTTGCCCCCTTCCCCCTATGTAATACCTACGAGCCTTTAGGGCAAATAAAATGAAAAAAAAGTTAGTTAATGCCTGTCCTTTTGTTTATTCCTATGGTGGTTGAACGGTCACAGCACCCGACCGCCCTCTAGGTTATTGTAGGAAGCTCCATGAGCACCACGAAGGCATCAGCAGGCTGAGTGACCGAAGGTATATCAGCTGTGGTGATGCTGTGCTGGCTATGCAGGGTTTGGTAGATACGGCTGTGAAGACCAGCCGCAGTGGCTACCTGCAACGTTGCCTCATCAAGCACCTGGAGGGGCTTATGGTGTGCTATGATCAGACGGTCAGGGACAGCGATGGAAGTGTCATACAGGTATGTGGCATGTTTGTCTTGAAATAGAAGTTTGAGCTAGGCTTGTGCCAATATTCGAACGATTAATGCAGTATTCGAATTCGCTTTAAATCGAATTTAAATAATTGAAAATCTTGAATTTTCGAAACGAATGGATAGGTGCATATTAGTTTGCATGTAACACCCTTGAAAGGTGGTTTCACTTTAGTAAAGGAGTGCTGTGCCGTGGAAACGATTATTAAAATATATATTAGTTTGCATGTAAAAGTAATTGCACTGTAGTGAAATAGTGCTTGCTAAACCATAAAAACAGGTATCCAAGAGAAATCCACACTGCAGCAAAGATCCTCTTCAAGATTAATTAAGATATTACTCTCACACTGATTCTTTTTTTTTTTTGCTGCTTAAGAGCACGTAATACCAACTTATATGCTCAAAGTATAATAGGAGAGAGAGAAGCAAACTTTTATTTTGGAAACAGTGCCCCGAGCAATGCCCAGTGTCACCCTGAGGTGAGAAGGCTTCTTAGTCCAGGAACCCTCTGGCTTCTACTGCCCTCTTGGCCTTTCCGATGAGTTGTTGTTGGTCTTCCAAGTCCTCAAGGGCGAGCTTCGCCTTCCAAGTTTCGGTTAGGTCTTCGTTCGTCTGTCCTGCTTCATTGTCAGTCGTGTGTTGTTGCAGATTACGTCTGGCAATCACTGACATGCAAGAAGCAAGTGTGCCAGGGTGTCCGGTATGCTGCAGAGCGGGAACATAGAGCAAGCAATATTTCGTTGGGTAGAGATGGTGCATTAGGGCCCCATGTGTGTATTTCTTTCTTTGCAGGCGTCGCAGTATCACACTGTCCTCTTTTTGTCAGTTTTGGGTGTGGTGGATGTACACTCGTCGCTCCAGCCTGTCAAATCCTGCTACTATTCAGTTAGTTCCACTTCCTTTGATTAAAAGAAAAAAAGGCATTTGCACAGTTCTTGTTTCGATTAAAAAAAAATATTGTGCAAGTTAGTTTGGTCATGACAAATATGTCCCTTTTTCTTAATGATACGCAATATTTATACTATTTGAGTTCGATTCGAAATTATTCAACCAAAGTCACTATTCGCTTCGAATTTGCTTCGAACCTAAAATTCACTATTTGCACAAGCCTACTTTGAGAATTTTATAATACCATGTGTAATTATATCATAGAACTGCTTTTCGTGCACCCCCTGCCAAACAATTCAGGCTACAATGAAGTAACACTGTGACAGACACTTGAAGTCCTTATCACCGACAGACTTGCAGCTTTTAAAGCCGAGCTACTACAAAAGATCTTGCGTTACAGCCAGACAAGTCACTGAAGGACCAATGCCTGCCACCCACGGGCAAGTGGTCTCACTGAGCATCTTTATGAAAGCCTCACTGATTCCCTACTCAGAGTGACACTCATATTCATTCTTGCCAAGAACATATCACGAGTGAAACCGCTTGCTTGCATCACAACACTATCAGAAACAAACATAGATTTTTTGAAAATCACTTTTTGAGTTCTTGAAACCCTTTTTCTAATTGATTTTAAAATGTCTACACTGAAAACTGTGCAGAAGTGCTTCAGAAAATTCGTTTCACCCCCCTAGGTAGCAGAAATGTTTCTGGAAATCGCTAGAAAACAGGTATTATAAAAAAGTTGTGGCTTCCCTATGGCGCGGCCGGGAGCTGGCTTTTTGGGCTCATTGAAAAGAGCATTTCTCCGTTTTCAAATTTCCCGCCTCAGCTGGTTCCTCCCTAGGCCCCATAGCAAATTTTACGTAGTTAGACTGTGGAAGTTGTTCGGTGTCCAATGAAGAACATTTTTCCACAAAAATGTTTTGAATCGGTTCATTACGAGCTGATAAAGCTGTGTTTTTTTTTTTTTTTTTGACGCGGCCCGAAACGAGGATGAGAGGCGGCGAGCTGGAAACCCTTGCCGCTCCTCCGCGTAGCTTTCTCAAGTCAAATTTTTTCCCTACCCTCTTTGGCATCGGACCAAGAGGTCACGTGTGCATGACGCGCCCAAACAAGCCCAACCTCGTGCATGCGAGCATAGTTTCTTTGTTGTTGTTGTTGTTGTTGTTGTTGTTGTTTTTGTAGTTGGCCAGCGTTGTTTTGAGGTCTACTGCCTGTGTCTGTGAGATGGTTTGGAAACGATGGCTTAGACGCGGTCGAATAGATAAGCACAATGAGTTGCGAACGCGTAGGAGCGTTCCACGACTGTCATCGGCTCGATGTGCTAACCGTGGGAACTGGCACATTAGCCTCGCATCTCATTGCAATTCACGGGAAAAAAAATGGAAAAAAAAAAAGAAAAATGCTCACATTTTCTTATTGTGTCTCACTATTTATCTTGAGATTTATTAATCTCTTCAAGCAATAAATACATAAAATGTACATGTTGTGTTAAATAATTTTCGCCATGTCACGTGCCACTGTTCGCAACGTCAGAGCACAGTCGTCTACGTAGAGGACCAACGTCACTGCATTGCCATGTACGTAGGGCCATTCATACACGCACGTCATGCCCTCATTCTCTGAATGCACGCTCGCAAAAGGAAGGTGGAGCTGCATTCATTTTGAAATTTGACCCATTTCCGCAGTGCGTAGCGTTGCAAATTTTGGCAGACATGATTGTGAACGCCCCATCTACACATTGCACTTGTCAGCTCAAAATTGTCAAACCTGGTAAGTGGCCCTTTAATAACAAGGGCAAGAAGCATATCTTTGAAGAAGGTCGTTTCGACCTTCAAAGATATGCCATATTGCCTCATATCGACCATATTGCCATATCGACCATATTGCCTCAGCTCGCCTTGCCATTGGCCCGATGCTCGCTCCGGGAGGTCATCTGCTGCTTGTGCATAGCGAGGGCATGGCTCTCGAAAATCGCTAGTTAGTTATGTGTTCACAGCTCGACGACATTTAGGTTATAATTGCGCTTTAGTTAGAAGCTGCAAGTGATTGCACGATCAGATTACTACGAGTCGGCGTGCCTAACTATGCTGATGACGAGACTGCGGGCAAAAACGACGCGCTAGCGCACTTGTGGCGAGGTGCTTCTTGGCAAGCAACGAAGTGCATCACTCGCCAGCTCCACGAAACCGCAGACAGGCATTTTACGCATCCGCAACGGACCCCGCAGTCTAGCTCACCGATTCCTCCCTCCCCCACTGCCAAACAAGGCTTGGAACAGCGGCTAGCAGTTTCGCGCGTCGGCACTCCGAAATGCGATACCAAGAGCAGTGCGCGCTTCATCACCGAACGTCGTCGCCAAGTGCATCATGCGCCGGCTGCACTGTCTGTCACTGTATCGCCATGAGCGTCTATGAATGTTCTGGGACAATGAAAGCCTTGTTGATTAGCGTTTTTGTGGCCGGCCGTATGATGATGTGTTTCACTGCTAGAGTGGCAAAAGAGCATGTATGAAGCAGGGACACGAATTTTTATATGCCCGTTTTGTATCATAAAATAAACTGCTAAAAAATTCCTGTGTCAACAGTCTCCTGCCCATAACTTTTTTATTTTCAAAGAAGGTATAGGCTGTCCTGGTGTGAGCCATTTTTTTTTTATCTAATAAACCTCTCTCTCTCTCAAAAATGTGCAGTGATTATTTGTAATAAAGTACAGTCAAACCTCATTAATTTGAACACGCTTAATTCGAACTTCCGGTTAATTCAAACTTGGGCTGTGGTCCCTTCAAAGCTATGTGTATTCTAATGAGCAAAAACTCCCTGTAATTCAAACGCGCAAGCACTTGCAAGGGTCAATTCGGACATACCGTGCTCCGAGAATGCTCTCAGCACCATGCCCAATCCCCCGCCGTCACCTCCGCCACCTCAACGCTGCTCCCAACGGAGGAAAAGAAGAAAAGGAAAGAAAAGGCTGCGGCAGAATGTTTGCTCTCTCTCAAATGCCGATTTGAAACGTGCCTGTGCCACGCTTCTCCCTTTTCTGTCCCAGCCGTAAAAACACTTGTCTTTTCAATGCTGCGTGCGAAGAGAGCAAAAAAAAAAAAGAATAAGAAGAAGAAGAAAAAGAGACAGCTGCCGCGGAGTGTTGGTTCTCTCTCGAATGCCTATCTGCTTCTCTTTATGTGGAGTCACTCCTCCTTTCTTGTAAAGGGCTGGCCACGCTCCGGCTGCGGCGCAGAGGGTAGCAGCGGAGACACAGTCGTTGTCGACATCTTTAGTAAGTGTTGGCGCTTGACATTGCCGCGCGCATTTTCTTTTGCCAGGAGAATGCTGAAGCCAAAGTAGAAATGCTGTGCGAACTGTGTGCGAAATTGATTGATTCGCTGCAAGGCTAACGTGTGCAGTTGCGCATCACCGATTACTTCAATTAATGACAGATGTCATGTGATTTGTGAATAAATGTAAGTTTTAATTCTGAAACTTCCCCGTCGTGTGTTAGCTCAATGCACATGCGTCACTGCATGATGAGCCCTCCGTTAATTCAGCTTTCATTAAATTGAACTTCTTTTAATTTGAGCAAGTTATCGGGACCTTTCGAGTTCGAATTATCGATTTAACTGTACCTAATTACACTAATGACAGCTTGAGTACAAGAAATATGCGTAATAATTTCAGTATATGGTCTTATTCAATTACAATCTTTTCTGTCATGCCTATCACACCACTCCTTCACACAAAAAACTTGGTTTGAAGTCTATGCCTGTTCTTTTTAATCAAGAAGAGGAGGTATGAAAAAAAAGATGGCAACTCAGCCACACTTGGCAGAAGCCACATGCCTGAAGAGCCAAATATGACAAATCTGAGATTACAATTTTTAGGCGTTTTAGGAACATAAGGACAAGTTGAAACTTTAAATGTAGTTTTCTCAATTTACTGTTTTTTTGGCATTATGCTCCGTTCGCGGAGCAGATATCTTGGCAATCACTTCACAGAGTTTAATTCCGTTTGTTTTGTAACGCTCCTTGAACTGTGCTTCGGGGGGCTTCAGCCCCCTTCATCATACATTTGGCTGTGCGTATAGTAATTACCAATTATTTTTAT